TCACGGAGCTGATTGGAGAAGGAAGAATTCTGGCGGTGAAACCCAAACAAACAAGGAAGTATGAAGTAACAATGGAGACTGAAGATGACACCGAAATTTTAATAGACAATGGATTGACAATTAAAGGAGTGAAATCTGAAGTACGGAGGTTACAAAACAGAGACTATGTTGTTTCGTTCAAGCATCTGCCTGTTTACCTAGCAAATGAAGAAATTTTAAGCAAGCTAGAGAGATAGGGCAGTTTTCCCCATATCTAAAATTAAAAGAAGATTGTATCCTGGCACAAACATAGAAGATGGAACAAGGTTTGTAAAAAACAGATTTCCGGAAGAGATGGTCTCCTTACCATACAGTACCAAAATCGAGACGGCGGAAGCGCCACAGCACTTTAGAGTCATGCACACCAATCAGGTCAAAACCTGTCGACTATGCATGAGCTCAGAAAATGTGATGAAGGAACGCCCAGAATTCAGGTGCTTCAAATGTGACGAAAGGGGACATTTCGCAAGGACCTGTACAGCTGTGTCGGGCCCCGGATTGTAAATTGGCCCTAATACCTGCAGGGAGCTTGTCACGCTGAGTTGGCTTTGTCCGCTCGATTGACCAAGGCGTACGCCTTGTTTTATCCTTGCAGGCCTAACTTCGCTGGTGAAAGCACTTGTGGGGTTTCTGTAGTGTAGTGGTCATCACGTTCGCCTAACACGCGAAAGGTCCTCGGTTCGAAACCGAGCAGAAACAGTGTTCTTCTTTTGGCAAAAAATAATAGCATCCACTGCCGCACTAGCAATGATCGTCGACAGGCACCCAATCAAAAAGGCTTATCTGCTTGTTGTGCCTGTAGGTTTCCGTATTGTAGTGGTTATCACGTTCGCCTCACACGCGAAAGGTCCCTAGTTCGAAACTGGGCGGAAACAACCTCTGGCTTTTATGACAATTGTCAAATCAGGCTTCTGTTGAGTACTGACGTTCACAGATAACATTCTTTCTGCTGAGCGGTGTGAGGCTAGAAGTTTGAATTTAACTCAGTGTTTACCTCCCCTCGCGGTGTCGCAAACTTGCGTAGAATCTGATTTCTTTTAGCTTTATGTTGTGCATGAGCAGGTGGCCAGTGCGTTTGCTGGCCCTCCACGGTGCAGACCGTACAAGACAGCTCTATAAAAAAAGTCTATAAATACTTGAAGCAGCACTGGCCTATTGGTTTTCATAGTGTAGTTTTTTTATCATGTTTGCATTACACGCTAAATGTCTCCTGTTCGAAACTGGGCGGAAGCATACAACTAGCGAACACTTTTGTCCAAAGCGACATACAATAGTGGAGGTATTCAACAAGACGAGGCAATGCATATGAAAAAGGGCTATTTATTCCAAGTAATTTGTTTGTGTTCAGAGAATTTAGTGCTGGAGTAGGAGTTTCGTTTTCTTTAGAGAGAGGGATATTCACCGGGGTTCGGGTGTACTCCGAAGAGATGGGTGTTAGCTGTCGTTTGAAGGACACCAGTGTATCCGTAATCTGAGTGGGAATGGGAAGGTGATTCCACCAGCGTAGAACATTGAATGAAAACATTGCGGAAAGTGACTTTCAGTCTCTCTGCGATGGCACCACAAGACAGTGCTCTCACCCTAACCGGAGGCTCCTGTGGCTATCACGATGGCTTTACAAGCGGAGGGTCTCCTGTTAGAAACTGTGCGGAAACGTTCAGATTTGCTTTTACGCACATTCTCCATTGGCTCTCTGCTCACTGGATGATCAACAATACAAGGGCGTGGATCTATCAAATGTCATGACTTGACGTTGTACGAGGATTTGACGAAAAAATGCCCTGCAAACCTTAAAAATCAACGCCGTCCCAGGACAATTCTTTTGATCCCCTTTCGGTGCACTTGCATTAAAGCCCGCGTGATGCGGCGCTTGGTCAGTGTTACTCTATCATTCGGACATGGTGGCAGAGAGTTAAAGACTTCAGCCTGAGCGCACTGCCGCAGGTTCGGTTTGTCAGAAGTGGGATTCGAACCCACGCCTCCAGGGGAGACTGCGACCTGAACGCCAGCTGCTGAAGGATTGTCCATCAATATTTCACAAATGTTGAAGATGAGAGCCAATCAGAGGGATTCGCTCCAACATTGTAGCCAATCACGGTGCAGCATCTCAACATTTGCAGCCAATCGCTGACTGTAATTCTCAACATTTTCAACATTTGACCAATCAGAGTCGAGGCAATGTTAAAGCCGGGGAAGGAACTTTTCCAAGATTCACCGCTAGGTGTGTAGTCAGACAGGCTAGTCAGATGTCAATCAATTTTTCGAACTGAGCCGAAGGTACACGAAAGAAAAAACGGGGTCCTCTGGAGGCGGGTCAGAGGTCAAAAAAGTTGAGTACGGGAGTACGAGAGGGAAAACAGATGGGAAACAACACAGCACGAGGAGGAGAAACAAACATGGCTAACATGGAACGACAAGAA